CCTTTGTAGTTGGGGCTCCCTTTATACGCGGTTTAGAAGCTTCTATTTTATATTCATTGAGTTTGGAGGCTTAGTATGGATTATGACTACTTTTATTAAATGAACAGATGCAAAAATTTATAATGAGAGCCTCTCGTGATGACTTCTAAGTGCTACGGTGTAAATTAGCCTTAGGATCTGTTTCACAATATATGGATAAAGTACCAAATAGCTATGAAACACATAAATTATTTGGAAGATAAATTGTGCTATTTGACATTCATCGGACTCATAACTTATGATGGACTTTATGTGACGAATAGCGTTATCTGACAGTCGTGAAACGCAACAATAGTGTTTATCCTACCAATAAGTAATAAATAGCTAATTTGGAACTTATGTAGAACTTATCCGTACATTGTGAAACAGACCCTTAAAGTACTAAATTTAAACATTACATCTTTATCTGTAATGAAATGAAAGACTGCCATTCGTGCCGGTTGCGGCAAAAGATTTCCTTAGTGATAACTCGGAACGTCGAGTCGTAAATGGTAAGCGACATTCCGGATTTGCAGGCAAATTGGTATCAGTGACAAAGGATAGCTAAAGCACATTTAATAGCCCTCGGCCCTCGTAGGCTTTGAAGGCTTATTTATAGAGACGTAGACCTTTTCAATTTCTTTTTCACATGTGAGAATCTTCACAGGATTACTCGGTTAAATCCTCCTTGAAAAATCAAGTGGGACGGACGAAATAATGACGCCTCGAGAAACCGAGAACGTAGACTATTAGGGATAATGTCTGCATTCAATTTTGTATTACAATAAGGACGTGGGTTAAGTGTTTCACAGTATCAGAGATCCGTATTTAAACCTTAATTTGATATATAAGTTATCAAGTACAAGTATAAATATTCTGAAACAACGCAAAAACTTGTAAATTTTAACTTATTAATTAGGCACGTAACAACTTCTGCGCCTGTTTCAGGTATGATTTTGGTCTGGCTCCACAACTTTCTCATAATTAATTATTTTACAGAACAAGCAAGTGTTAATTGAGCTGAAAAACACCTAGATTAAAACATGAAGAGTTGAGAACCCCAGAAAAACTTATTTTAATACTTCGTTTCCTTAATACTTTAAAAATGCGCAGAAAACTAAGCCACCTACTAAACTCAAACTCAAAATATCTTTATTCATATAGGTAAACAAGTAAGTACACTTATGAACGTCAAAAAAAAGTTAAATTAATTGTAAATTTACATTTCCTACCAGTTTGCAAGTCAAAGGCGTAGAGCGGGCAAGAAGAACTGGCAAGAAACTTTCCGCCACTCTTTTTAATCCCTAAGTTTTGAGTCATACAAATTGTTTGAACTGGAGCAAATCAATCCCAAGGATTAGGATCATTTAAGTATTGGTCGAATTTATATAAAGCTTTATTGATAATTTCAACACTGATGGTACATAAATAATTAAGTAAATCTATGAAAGACATACACAGAACATATATACTTATAACTACCTTCAGAACCCAGAACATCCAGGCGATACGCACTTCGCCTGTAATCCCTGAAATAAAAATACGACTGCAATTACTTACGTATACTCGTGTATATTTAAGGCGGTATTTGAAATTCAAGAACATGAGATAAAACCTTTTAGTAACGAAGTAAAAAGCTAAGTGGTCGTAACGAGGCACACTGAGATTGGTTCCCACGATTTCTTTCACAAATAAAAGCAAATGTTTGCGCGAATCTTACGTAACTTGCGGAACTGAGTGGTTGGGTATATGAATCTTGCAAATAGTGTCATGTCACTTGTGTTCGACACTGTTTAATTAATCTTGGCTAAGCCCTAAACTAAATTAATCGACGTAATATGATATTATGAGTCAAAAGTCAAAGTCATTTATTCAACTAGGTAACACAATGCACACTTATGAACGTCAATAAAGAGATACATATTAAATGCTAAATGCTTCTAATTTTACATTTACTGCCAGTTCTCAAATCAAGGGCGTAGAACGGACGAGAAGAACTGGCAATAAACTCTCCGCCACTCTTTTTAATCGCCAAGTTTTTTGTTTTACACAATGTTTGTAAGGAGCTGCAACCATTACACCATGTTCCACATGACATCTTTAGTAATTAACAGTTAACTAATAATAAAAAAATAAAGATTTGTTTCTTCCTCTATCAGCAGTAGGCATTGTGAAATAGGAGCACGCACTTACATTCTTGTGGGGACGCAGTAAACTGCAATATAAATTTTTCTGTATTAATAATTGTAACATTGTTTTTTCCATATTATAACAAAACATTGATTTATTTTAAAGAAATGCATATAAATAAAAAGATGAGCTTAACTTAAAGATACAATTCTACGGTATATATGTCGCAGCAAACCATCTTAATTAGCCGTTCAATCAAGAGCCTAGCCTCTTTACTAATCAGCGCCGTTTTACTAGCGGCCTGAATTATATACAGCCGTATCATTTGTTACAACATTTAATAAACTGGCTGGCTAATGCTTAGGACATTCGTACGATCATGTGACAGAAATAAAAATTATTTATGGAACTTAGTAGTGTTCTTACGCTTACCCTTACTATACTATTACTAATTAAACTTAAGAAAAACTCATCAAATTTGTCGTTTGCCAACGCTTCATTGACAGTTGGGAGTAGGTGGCAGAAAGTGGAATGAACAGGATAGGCAAGTAATGTAACGTCATCGATTCAAGTCATTTGCCTAGCTGTTTGATCTGTTTGAGCTGAATATCATTCAGGCTAGTTGAAAGGCGCTATTTAGCAAAGATACTAGGCTGTTAATTGAAAGTCTAATTAAGATAGTTGGCTGCGCAAATGTATTTCTTTCTTTGCAATAAAGTTCAAACTATCATTAGTATATTTAAAACCTTATCTAGGTTAACCGACGTCTTCGTTGTAATTGTTCCTTAAGACAAAAACTTCCTCTATACAAAGAAATTGTAGTTACTATTAAAATCTTTACCAGAGGGAAATATTGTACTGATCTATGCAGGTAGAAAATTACGTAATGTGCCGAGTTACGTTCTTGACATACAAATATTGCGACCATTATTTTTATAGTATTCTGGTGTATAAGTATTAATGCGTATAGTTCTATCACCAAAGGCTATGTTGGTCAGACTACACGTATCTAGGGGATGTGGAGTAGTCAGAATTCTGTGTCCTTCCTCTAGTTTACTTAAAGTTCGATGATGTGTTATGAAACAAGACGGTACTAACTGTTGGCCTACTATCTACTTATAGTCTTGGAGTATGGTGAGCAACCCAAGTGTACATCAAGAACTCGGAATCTTTGTACCTAGGGGACATGTGTGACGGCGGGTTGTCTCTCTCTCTAAAAAATGGCGAGGGGGCCGATGGCTGGCCATGCGTCATACTCTTGAACGGGTGCTACTTGTGGTGACTGGTCGTACTTGAATTCGTGTATGCGGTTATGTTAGTTATTTCGACTATGTATTTGCGTGTTGTTCCCACGAAAATGTAAGTGCGTGCTCCTTTTTCACCATGCCTTCTGCTGATAGAGGGCAAATCTTTATTTTTAATTTATTTTATTATTATTATTTATTACTTAAGGCGTCATGTGGAATGGTGTAATGATTGCAGCTCCTTACAAACGATGTGTGAAACAAAAAACCTGGCGATTTAAAAGAGTGGCGGAGAGTTTATTGCCAGTTCCTCTCTTTCGTTCTACGCCCTTGATTTGAGAACTGGCAGTAAATGTAAAATTAGAAGCATTTAATGTATATTTCTTTATTGACGTTCATAAGTATACATTGTGTTACCTATATGAATAAATAATTTTTCACTTTAACTTTTGAAGGCCAAGGTTGTTTGCGATATCAAGGGCTAGATCCAGCTTTCGTACAGATTCTCGTTAACAAAGACATTGCACCTACTGCACGCTGTCTCCGACATTATCGACATTTTTATGTGTTCGCAGAGTGATTGTTTTCGGCATTTTCGTATTAGCTTAGTACTGTAAGGATATGTTTTACTTGTAAAATAAAACTCAAGAAAGAACATTCAATAATTTATTTTACATACGAGAGCACATACACATATGTTTATATACAAACTGACATTCCCATAAAATATAACGCTCAAAGCAATGTATTAAGCCTATATCACAAAAATATTTTACTACAATATTTACAATGTATTATACAATATACCTAAGCTACTTTCAACAATTATTGGTAACAGATAAAAATTAGTAAATTTTTTCTACTGTCGCTTTCGAGTTCTGCCAGAAAATGATTCCGCCTCTACCCTCGTGGTGTGGTTTAACCAGTTAAGAGTATGATTCAAGGTGATATTGTAAAATTAAAGAGGAAATGGTGGCGCGTTCCGTTCCATTCTAATTGGTCAAAGGCGCCTCTCGTTTTGACACGTGACATGTAGTATATCCGTTTGACCAACCAATCAAACGCAGTCAAACGTAAGATTCGTCTTTTGTTTCACATTCTTACCCCCCTAAATCGAGACTTACCACTTAGTTTCGCGACACAAAGCCCGGAGGTCATCAGTTCGGACCACGTTTATTCACCATTAGAGTACTAAGGGAAGCCGTAAAAATCGTAATTTTTCTATCAAGAATAACATATTACAGTACTGACAATGGAAAGCAATCATTTTACATGAAATAACTTATAAGCTTCTTCTCGTCGTAAGCGGTTCTACCTTCTTTACTAAATATAAAATAAAGTAAACATTATGACATAGCTATTACAATATCAATTTACAAACACTAGACTCAACGTAGTCATAGTGGAACATAATAATTTAATAACGCTATTTACTTTGTACACACATATGCAAAAATTCAATACTCAATTTATCACAACGTAATAGGTTTACACGTACACAGTTTGTCATAGAGAATGCATACTAGCGTCTGTATCACTTTCAACGTTGCCTAGCAACAGGCTCGATTCGCAAGGAACTGTGGAGTCCTTTGATTCTTTGGGCAATAGTCACAGCTCAATCGGAGCCGCCCCCTTCCAAGTCACACCTGCTCTTAGGAGGTGATATAGTCGCAGGACGCACCAAATGCATAAACACTGTAACAATATTGTTGAAATTATTCTTACTAAAAGCCTTTTCTGTTTTATTTGAAGAATATACAACTTATTTTAATAAAATGAGTACTTCACAAACCCTATTGGGATGGCACGGGAAATGTTATAGCTCCATTTCATTACTCTCACAGTGCGTTGAATTCTGTGTCCGATAGGCATTGAAACCGGTGTCACAGTCAAATTCCTAACTTAGAGATTTTGTTGAAAAAAATATAATGACGATAGGAACCTGATACCACACTTTCTACAGTCCACTTCCACTAGATCAATGATACAGTTATGAATTTAATACACAACTTTTTCCAAGACTACCAAATTATACATTTTTAGACAAAACGGTTACATCACTTTGATCTGAATTGAAACAATTTTTGATGTGTAAATTTCAGTGTTTAATAATCATATAAATCTGTATGAGAACAGTGAAATCAAATCAAATTACTCAACCCAAACTTGTACAATAATGTATTCCTTGGAGTAGGTACTTATCATTTTGCCTACATTTGAATATAATTTTGCTTTAAATACTTACATTTAACAATATTCTCGGAATTAGAAAAGTAATTTCTGCTTTACACATCGCGTCGAATTGCTGAAACAAAATAATGAGTTATTGATGTGCTTAATTATTTTTTATGTTATTGTTGTGAACGAATTATGCAAACGCTCCTGCGCTCATATTTAGTGATACCGCCGCCCATGGACACTCTCAATGCCAAAAGCAGTCGATTGCCGGTCTTTTAAGAATTGTACGCTCTCTTCTCGAAGGACCCTAAGTCGAATTGGTTCGGAAATACTTCAGTGGACAGCTGCTACCTCATAGTAGTTGTGCGTGACAAAAACTGTCTTAAGAACGTTCAAACTGTCAACTCCAAGTATGCTGGCTGTGGATAGAAGAGTGTCTTAGAAAAGAACGCTACTCTTCTTTTCTAAGACACAAAGGGTATTTTTTTAAATCCAAAAGACGTGATTGCAATAAGTCATCAACAATTATTTTCAGAAAAAAACGATATTGATATTAGTAAGAGTGTACGACAGCCTACTCTTAAAAGGCCGGTAACGCACTTGCTAGCCTTCTGTCAGTGTGTGTTCATTGGCGGCAGTATTACTGAGAGTCTCCTGGTTCTTCTAATTGTTCTGTTATACAGTTTGACATAAGTGACGAGTATTCAGTCTCAAACACACTTACGGAGCAGCGGAACAGATACATTGCGTCTATTTTAAGGCAAATTAATGATTTGCCTACCAACCCCGTTTTTAGCCCAACCATTGCCATTTATTTTTTATGAATCATAAGGTTACCCCAAACACCACTTACTCAAAAAGGTACATCACAATTGCCTAAGAACGTCTCACAGTGGTAATAGGATATCCTAAGAGCATTTTTCTTCCATCAAACTTGTCAACGAATTTCAGTAAATTGAAACAAATACTTTTTATATAAGAATAAGAACATGGTTTTTAAAATCTCAGTCTCGGGAGCATTATACATTATAGCAATGGTTTATGGTTTTAAACACATTATGAGAAATAATTTTGAATTAGGCGAGTAGAACTAGTTTAAAAAACTAACTAGCTAACTGTGGAGTTTCAATTGGTTTGTGACGTTTTACTTACAATTTTAATGGTTATAATGTTATAGTGTATGTCACTGGCCTTAGTATATAAGTTAGTTATTTAAATATGTTCGTCCTGGTGGACAGAAAAACTGTGTCCAGTTTGTGTTTCCACCACACCAACTTATTTTCTATTAAAGATCATGTATATAATAAATAAATAAAAATAAAATCGATGTTACCGTTTTATCATTAAAAGTAATTCCTAAACACACCTACGGAAAGATAAACTATTATATTATGAAGGCGCTTTGCATGAAAAAAATAATATTCAGATATAATAAAATGTTATGGAACACATACAAATACATCTAATCGGAACTTTGATGTCTAATATCATGAAACGTTGTAATGGCGCTAAATTGGAGTTACCATAGAGTGTACAACTTTTTCTTCGACTAGGTACAGATTTACCTTAAAAAATAATAAAAATGTGTCCAACCTAGTAGAATTGGTCTTGGAATGATTTGACTTTTATTTTTTATTATTCTATAATATGATATAGTATAATTGTGGCGTTTACTCAAATCTCATTATATTATATTAGCAGGGTAAATCTATGTTAGAACGGTTCCATTCATTCATCGCCTTTTATTTCGAGAAGGAAGGGATTAGGGAGATGTTTTTGACGTTTTCGTACAGAGACTCAAAAATCGAGAAGAGACATAAAAAAAAATGTATGGCCCTCCAAAACGGTGATACCTCGGGAAGGTGGGAAATTTGGTGGGGTTTTCCATAAAATCCAAAATCAAGTTATTTTTACACATTTGCGGCAGTAAAATTTGCCGAGTGTATGAGAGAAGAGATGAAAATTTAAAAGAAAATCCATTCCATTCATTTTCTATGTATTGTTCTTCAAGTTGAGCCAAGTTTAAACGTCGACATAAAAAATTTGCCGATAGCGAAACACGTTTGACTGAGTGCTTAAAAGCATTTAAACTTGGACATATAGTTTCAAGATGAAAGAATGTTGAGAATCTTATGAAAAAAAGTAATGGAGTGTTACGTTACGTTAGTTAAAAGTACGGAATACCTTCGTAAAATACTCTGATAACCTACTAAACATCTTTTAGTCGCCTGGGTACAGTAACAAATTTCGAATCGACCGCAAATTTTTTATTTTGCCATTTACGTTCGCAAAATATTATTTTTATGGAACAATATTTTTCATGCAAAAGTCCTTTGGTTTTCTGCGTGATATGTTAAAAGATCTCAAGCTTATTGTTTAGACCACACTCGATTATTAAGTAATAAGAACGTCCCTGGGAATGAAATTGTAATTACAAGGTCGCACGTGTAACCAAAACATGTCTTCCAAGGCTGTGTAAGCAAATTCATTTCGAATAGTTTAAATTCTATGTAAACTTTGAGTGCTATAAAGCTTCCGATGTTTTTGGTTATTAACTGTGTACTCTGGTTTTACCCGAGTTAGTTTGGTAATGGGTGTTATATAGAGTACTAGTGGCCAGTCTTGGCTTCGCACGGCTGTAGCTTTATTCTTTAAAATAGTTTTGAAATAAATATAGATTTAATTATGCATGTTTCGTGCAATAATTATAAAGTCGTTGTCGATTTAGTTTCGTTACAAACATACAAAATCCAATATATAATATAAGTAAATGTAAATGCAAAACTATCCAACACCAAGATTTATACAATTCAAGCCAGAAGTTCCTAAAATTAGCGCAAACTCTTTGTAAGATTAGAACACTTTAAATTTTAATTGTATTAACTTTTGTAACAGAACAATCCTATTGTTACTTAAATTCAGTATCTTGTAGAGCTTAGGGGAAGGTGGGGACCCTTCGTACGGTTTTCACATTTTATTTTTTAATTTTTTTATTTTTCCATGAATCAATCACCTGATAGCTTAAATTTATAGTCTAACTATCTGAGATTCAAATAAAAAAATGACAAATGATTTCATCCGATGTTTCCACCATAATTATGATTTAAACTAAATCTGGAAAACGTACGAATCTGCCCCATCAACGGGGCACCTTCGTACAGTGTTTGGGGTACCTTCTTACGCTGTGGGGTAGTTCAAAATTCATTTATTAGCAATGAAATTAAACACAAAAATAAAGATTTAATTTCTATTAAACAAAAATAAAATACTTTTCTTATGTAAAACAAAATTTAATTAGTTAGGTATCTTAAATTTAGAATTACATTTTTTACTCTTTGGTGTGGATTACAACTTCTTATTTTCGGGTGTGGCAGTATAAATTCGTGGTTTTCCTGGCCGTCATCGTCATTTTGCTTGTTTTATTACTTCTTACAGAATGCGAATAGGGTCGAAATGCCTCTGGTGTCAAAACTGACTTCGAAGGAACTACTATTTGATGGATTGGTAAATTATTCACAGCATCTGGTTCACAAGCATCAAAATCAACCTTAGTCAAGATGCCTTAACAGTATTGTAATATGTAGAAAGTCGAAAACTTAATTTGTATGAAAAAGACAGTTCGCGTCGACAAATTATTATACAAATTTAGTTGTACAATTCGTACAAATGTGCCCCATCTAGTGCTGTCCGAATGTACCCCACTAACTGAATAACAACAAAATATAACTTATTTTAATATTAATAGGAAAACGTCATAAATTAAGTATTGGAGACGTATCTTAAGTATATTTTGCTAGTTACTGATAGAATACTCTACACGAAAACTTATTTTATCTACGGTAACAAGAGATAAAAACATAGATCAAAAATTACTTACCGAGCGCGAAAACACGTCTATGCCTGTAACTTCACTCTCATCGGTGCGAATTTCACGAAACTTCGTTGATGTATAGTTGGTACCTCGACTCATGCACACATACAAAAGCAAGACTGTACTTTATTTCGTTCAAGTTTTATTTTGACTGTATGAATGTGCCCCGCGTACGAAGGGTAACGATCTTCCCCTACTATGTTGTATATGAAATTACATTTTTCTCAATTAGAATTCTCAGTACGGCTTTCGTCGTGGTCGCTCAGCTGGTGACCTCCTTGTATACCTTACCCATAGGTGGGCAGAGGCAATTGAGTCCAAGGGGGAGGCGCTGGCGGTAAGTTTGGACATAGCGAAAGCCTTCGATCGGGTGTGGCACAGAGCACTGCTCTCGAAGCTTCCAGCCTATGGGCTTCCCGAGAAATTATGCGATTGGATCTCCAGCTTTCTGGCCGATCGGAGCATCAAGGTCGTCATCGACGGAGCATGTTCCGACCTTAAACCTGTGAACGCTGGGGTCCCACAAGGCTGTGTTCTATCCCCGACCCTATTTCTTTTGCATAGCAATGATATGCAACTTAGCAACATTCATTGCTATGCGGATGACAGCACTGGGGATACTTTTTACACTGGCCGGGCAGGTATTTCTCGGGCAGTTGTTGATGAGTACCGGAACAAACTTGTGTCTGAAGTCGAAACTCTACTACGTGGAGTCTCAGACTGGGGCAGACAAAACCTAGTCCAATTTAACCCCAAGAAGACACAAGTTTGCGCGTTTTCCGCTAAAAAAACACCCTTTGTCGCTACTCCTCTTTTCGAAAACATTCTTCTTAAAGCCACAGCCAGCATTGGAATACTTGGCGTTGACATATCGAACGACGTTCAGTTTCGCGGTCACTTGGAGGGAAAGGCTAAATTAGCCTCCAAAAAGCTTGGTGTGCTCAGCAAGGCGAGGCGGTACTTCACTCCGGGCCACCGCATGCAACTATATAAAGCGCAAATTCGGCCCAACATGGAGTACTGCTCTCACCTCTGGGCGGGGGCTCCCCAGTACCAGCTCCTTCCACTTGACCGTATACAACGCAGAGCGGTTCGAATCGTCGACGACCAATCCCTCTCCGAGTGGCTTGATCCTTTGGCGTTGCGTAGAGATGTGGGGTCACTCTGCATCTTCTACCGCATTTACCATGAAGAGTGTTCAGAGGAGTTGTTCGGATTAATACCTGCAGCTGAGTTTCATCATCGGACGTCGAGACAGAATACGAAATTCCACCCGTATCACCTCGACGTCCGCCGTTCCACAACTGAGCGTTTTTCAAGGCAGTTTTTGCCGCGCACCACCACTATGTGGAATCAGCTGCCCACTGAAGTATTTCCGAACCAATTCGACTTAGGGTCCTTCAAGAAAAGAGCGTACCAATTCTTAAAAGGCCGGCAACGCACTCGCGAGCCCTCTGGCATTGAGAGTGTCCATGGGCGGCGGTATCACTTAACATCAGGTGAGCCTCCGGCCCGTTTGCCACCCGTTCTATAAAAAAAAAAATATACAATAACTCTTCACAGCCTTGTTTTTGATGGGAGACCCATAAACCAGAATCTCAACGTCAGAAGGTCTTAAACTTACCCGCTATTAGTCATTTATTACCTGACACGGCACCAGTAACGTGTTAACTATAACATATATATTGACACTTCTCTGAATCTAATGATCCGATTTTAAACATTCTTATACCAAAAGAAAGCCAGGTTATTTGATAGTGTCGAATGTGGTGGAAAAAACTAAGTCGGAGTAAGACAGCCAAACGAAAACGTTTCTTATTCGCTTCTTTAAAGATGATATATGATTGAGAGAAAATTTTTAGAATAGCGACTTGTCTTACTGTTATGTGGCAAAAGTAACCAACGAAGTGGGCACGGGTCAGCTAGTTTAAAAATTCTCTCTTATATCTAAATATCCCAAACAATTTGACAGAACTTTTTCTGAATACTTTAAAGTAATGTACAATGCGAATCGAAAAGGATCGACTCTGCGTTGTATTGTTACGTCATATCTGCTAGGCGTCGTGTGTCACCCACCACGTAAGTGGTGTGCAAATGCCACACTAAGACTGATACATTGCCCCGGTAGAATGCGAGAACGACCCAGGAGGCTCATTAACGCAGCCTTGTAGGAAGTAGGTACACGTGGTTTTAGTGGATATTGCTCACCCAGTCTCTGAATAGCAGAAATTCTGGTGTAGGTCGAGTCCTACATACCCCAGCTACTTTCGGGAGTATGCGCAAATTTCCACCCCAGATAAAAAGACTGATACAATGTAGAAGACAAGTTAATCACGAAGTGTAGCATAATCTCTCAATTTTTATATAAGGTTCAACGAAATAATTAGCTATGTTGATAGCGACAGCCTGCTTTGAGTGTTATTTGGCAGAGTTGTAATTAATATGTACAGTATTTATTTTCATATTATTCACAGTGGGATTTGAATGTCGAATACACATTTTGAAAATTCAAATAATCCAATGTTGGATTAAAAAACTATTTAAAAAAAAATACTTGGATTATTATTTAAATACTAGCGGACCCGACAGACGTTGTCCTGTCTTAACTATGAATATTGATTTCAAATTGGTATAATTAATAAAAAATATTTCAGAAACAAAGTGTTTATCATTCTAATGCTTTATGTTATACAACATTCTTTGTTTGTTTTTCTGGCTCGCATATTATTATATTATCTCCGATATAATAACTCCGATCGAAGCATTTATTTTAAACGATATTAATTTTTCTTACATCCTCTTTGACGATATTTGCAGCACGCATGTCAATGTTATGTCAAACGCCATAATACGAAACGTAACGTATGGTGGTTAAGTATTCTTAAATTTTCTAATTTTCCGCGCAATTTTTTTCTTTTTTTCATTTATAAGAACCTTCTCCTGACAATTACAAACACAACAAAAAAAAATCAGACTAATCGGTCAAGCCGTTTTCATGTTATGTCGTGACAACGGAAAACGGGTTTCATCTTTATATATATAGATATTACTACTGAAATAATTATTTGATATATTGCCTTTATAACTCTTGTAGCATTAAACATGCGAGAATCACATTATTTACATTTATATTTATAATAGAAGCTTGTACTTTTAAAATAACACAGTTAAAGATAAATTCATCGTTTCGCGATCGTTTACATTTTCTAATACACACGCCTCTTTAGATCTAAGTCATGCTGGTTTCGTTACGTTTTCCTGCACAGGCGGGTTCGATCCTACGACCTCAGGGATAAGGTAAATATAGTTTTAAATTAAACCTAACGATCGACTAACACTGCCAGCGGAACCAAGTCTTGCTATCTGTGTACCTTATTATATTATATTTGTTAATAAACAATTCAGAATTAAACAAATAATATGTTATGTCATAATTTCTAAATTAGCGTTTTCTCCTTTAAAAGACTTGTTATTTTGCCAGGGGTCCATACTAGGACCTGTGGCTTTTACATTACGTTGTTAATTATTCGCTACATTCAGCGACAAAGATATTCCGTCTTTAATTATGAAATTCAAACAATTCAAAGGAGAAAATCAGTATCATTAAATTATTATGTCCGGAACTTTTACTGTTAATGGACTTCTAAACGTTGTTTTGTTTATATATTAATTGGGAAGGTCACACGTGTCCAGTTCAAGTTTCTAGGTTATGATTACTTTGATAGCTAGCTGCTTAACTCATGGAAATCGCAACATTGATATACAATACAAGAAGTAAAGTTTTGGCTAACAAACTAAAAACCCTTCGTTTTCGGCCTCAGATGTCTAAATATAATAAATAAATAAATCCTATATTTGCCATGAAGTGGGACATCCGTATCAGACAGATCAATGTAGCATGCATATTTCATATTATAATTAAAAGTAAACTGCTTAATTAACTGAATTTGTTATCGTGGGATATAGTCACTCCATCACAATACATCAAATGCGATACTTGTTTTTCAATTTTCGTATTCAATAAATTCTAGATCTGAGTTTTTTGTGTGATATTCGGTATGTCTTATAATTTATAACAACGCCATCAATTTTGGCCTAAGAGGTGCCGGTTTCATCGCAATTTTTTTGTATCACCTCACGATCAATTGATAATCCAAAATAAAATTTGAATGAATCTCAGGGATACAGCGTTGTTTAATAATAGTATATTATTACAGTGGGCACTAGAAAATGGGCTAATCCACTTTTCTATACACTTATAATTCGAGAATTAGCTCAAAAAGTTATTCACCAACTATAAATATTTTCAAAAAGCCCTGATTCTCAACTCAAAAAATCAAAATCAAAATCAAAATACGTTTATTCAATTTAGATGCTTCTTAGAGCATGCTTATGAATGTCAACAACGTTTACAAAATTCACGAAAGAGCAAGACTACGCCATCCGTTCGCAAAACTACCAGGAGGCCTTGTTCTGAGAAGAACGGGCAAGAAACTCAGCAAGTTTGCCCTCCCTTTACATTACAATTATTCAAAGGAAAATGTCATAATAAAATTACATAAGTAAAAAAAAATAAAAAATCTGTTCTGTGATTTACCACATTCACCATTACACACATATTCATAACACTTCAAAGATAACAAATCAAATTATAAGAATATAATTAGAACTATTGCCAAGCGTTTTTATCTTCCAGGTAGTCATTGACTGTGTAGTAACCTTTACACATTAAGGTTTTTTTTGATGTGTGTTTTGAATCTGTTTAAAGGCAGTTCCAATATTTCACTAGGAATCATGTTATAACTAGGAATCATGTTATAACTGTATTTTATTTAACCTCTATATAGTTTTATTAAAAATAATAATTATGAATGCACCTCACCTTATTGACGTGATCCCTTAAAATATTTGAATAAACCATGGCCATTGCCTCCAAAGCCATGAAAGTCATGCAACCAACAACCCAAGGCACCAAGAAAGCAACGTTTTCCTGAAAAAAATAATAACATTTATAACAAATAAACCATAATATATCATTGCGTTTTATTGCGTTATGTGAGCAGTGTTGGCCTAGTGGTTTCAGCGAATCTCATTCCTGTGATTGTCGGTTCGATCCCCGTCAGTGCACTACTGGACTTACTGTATATGTACGCATTTAAAATTCGCTCGAACGGTGATGGAAAACGTGACGAAACGGGTTTGCCTCAGACCCAATAAGTTGATGGCGTGTCTCAACACAGGAGGCTGATTACCTACTTGCCTATAAGACACAAATCTCATGTAATTTTTTCTTAATGGTCCTAAACCTTTGTAAAACGTTCGGTGCCACTAACTTAACTGAGGAACGAGTGACGTCATAGAGCGATCGTGTCGTCTCAGTGTCGCCAATTTAATCAAAATTGCGAGAATGACTATCCAGTTGAGGATTTTATGTCAGGCAATGTATACTATTACTGATATCTTTAAATAAAAACACGTACCTTCTGATAGACTGATATAAGTTCCCATAGACATTTACTCATAATAAGTTTTTTTTCATTAACGAAACAATTATGTCAAAATATGAATTATTAAATAATTGTTATTAGGAAAGACAATTGTGAACGAACATAACTGTAGCATAACATCATTATAGAGGCGACATCCGGAACTATAATAGACCACAAGCCCATGAACAAAAAATACCTGTGAAATGACCCAACGTGAATTACGCTTAGAAGGCTGTTACTATATCTGAAAATAGCTCTGAGCACTATGCCGTCATTTCTGAGCGGTACGTGAGTGATTGGACTTTCTCAGGTACAATTGGGGAATTTCGACTAATTATTAATGTACGGCTTTGTTATAAGTGTATAGATGATTAAAAATAAATGTCGAAAAACTTAGTGCCGTACTAAAGTGATGGTACCGGAAGTCGGTGCAAATTTTTATTTCGACGATAGTTGCAGGAGCAATATAGGTCATTTATTACTGTACGGCATTTGCGTAATTCCTTTTGGACACATATACAGATACTTTACCCGTTAACGCCGTACATATTTCCAGCGGAGTGGTCGAAAGCCAAGGGTCGCAACATATATCTGATTAGAATATAGGTGATGATGATATAGAACAACATAAAATTAAATGATCTTGAGAGTTCTTCACAAATAGGTAACATTTTCCAGCATGCCGTACATTTTTTGTGGAACACATAGGTGTATGGGGTAAATTACTTCCCTCCGAAAAAGAGTCATTTTCCGGTGACTTTTATCTGTACGACAATAACACAGGTTATTAATACTTTAGACAATCTTCAATAAAAGATAAATGCCGTACACTTTCGATAGTCCGCTAGTCTGTGAAATGGCAGCAGTAACAGCCTTCTAAGCGTAATTCACGTTGGGTCATTTCACAGGTATTTTTTGTTCATGGGCTTGTGGTCTATAAGATATCGGAAATTTCCCATTATTGAAAATGCTGTTTTTGATTCTGTTTGTTCCGTTCTAGTCAAAATCTGATTTCAAGTAACCACTAAAAAAATCGCTCTCTTGACTATTATTCTTAATGCAGTGTAAAATGAAAACAGATGAGGCAGTTGGGATCAAGATACGATTTGATCTTCTTTAATATGACTGAATTAATAATTCAAACTATAACATAATAATTAATAGACTTACTTTATAAATCCCATAGAAGAGGAATATACTAAGGACAATCATGAACATTTGCGTTCCAATTATCGCGAAGTATGCTATCTGTACACCTGAAACAAAAATAATTTTTTAGCTAAATCTGGAGACACCATGACATTGCTTTTGTTCGAGTGCGTTCCAATATCGCTCGAAATTCCGCTGAAAAATCTACTATTATTATTATTTCATCCATTTTTATTTGCGCCTGAGGCGTCAAACTGTTGTCTCTGGCAGATTGCTGCATAATGCAGTTACTAACACAATACGCACACATTACATACTTAAAATGCACCTTATTCCTTTTTTTCCATAGTTTTCCTTTTTTGGATATTATTATTATTATTTTATTAGTAATAAATGTTATGTCAATTATGCAACTGAGTTCAAACGGTTTTCGAATCAAACTCACTACAACGATTTCTTAAGCGTAATCAACCAATCACTGTGCTGGCTGAGTAAGTGAGCCAATGTGGAAATTGATATTTACAGAATGCAGAGGTTCATCTTAGTGCCTGGTTCATCTTACGTGTTACAAACGTAAATTCTAATAAGTACAGTAATTACTGATTAAGCACATTTGAGACAAAAAGGAATATTTTTTATTAAAAAGTTATTTGTATTACAAAATATTACGGCAACAGATCTAATTTTTCAAGCCCAACCCAATGTTTTTATTTTATTTTATTCTTAATAAAATAAGCTACTATTATAGATTAATCTAATCCGGCAACTATTCACATTTATGTCACCTACAAAACAATACACACACATAGATAAACACTACAACATTAAACAGTAATACCTTAAAATATTTACGAAAAGACTAACTATTTCTTATAGTATCGGAACATGAATTGGACCTTTTGTTAGGTCACTCAACGGACAATTAAAAACGTCTCTTAATCTATGCAGTGCATTAATTATTTCCATACATTCCTTTCAAGAGGTTCGTTTTTGCTGAAGGTACGAATAGTAACCACAGCCGATATCCTAACGTAACCATCAGGCACCCCGAGCCCTAGGCACTGGAGTACTGCCGGATTGTTTTCCTTTCCACGTCATAAGTTTATGAGATACATGGAAAGCGCCAATTCTCGGCGCACTCTGAGTTCGTTGTAGTTCGCAGTACCTATCATGAATAACGTTGGATAGCTGAGCGGGTAAAATGGATACACACCGTACATTCTACAACACAGGAGCCTGATGAATTGGTTTCGTACCCGCTCCAGAATCATCCTATACTTTCTTTCATGAGGAGCCCAGATAGCACCATTATGCTCCAGGTGATTTCTCACTAATGAATGATACCAGATTCGAATGGTCGCAATACTTGTGAAGTCTCTGGTCTGGTCTAGTCCCGGCCTTATACGAAATTCAAGATTTCTAAATACATATTTCAAATTCTAACTTAAATTTGACAAAATTGAAAATTACGTAAAATTTAAAAATGAATATCAGGGAATAATAGTGAAAAACGACCCGTTGCAATAACTACTAGTAAATATAAACTCCGAGTGTTTATCATAACAGACATGAAGAATAAAGCCTTAGCTTGTGAAATGATGCGCGCAACGGACATTCCGCAAGGGTCATAATTAAATTCTTATATGCCATATGAAGATGTGCACGTGCGTGAATCCGCAAATGGAAATTATGATATGAGAGAGAGTTTTGTCAACAATGAAATGTTATATACAAATTACAAATCGGATGGTTGTTAGTCTTGGGTAAAGGCCTCCTCCTGAACTTTTTTTTTGGATCTGTTCTGTTGTTCTTTATGATGTCGTCAGCCCATGGCTTTTGTTGTCTTCCCACGTCCGCTTTCCTGGACAGGACCTCCAGCTTTCGGCTTCGACGGTCCATCTTTTTCCTGTACACCTTGCAATATGGCCATTTCCATTTCAGCTGTAAGGCGTATTAGTGCGTCTGTGGTCTTAGTTTTCGCCCTGATGTCAGTCTTTTCGTAGACGTTCAGGTTTGGCTCCCGTAGGGGAATCTCCCCCATGGGATAATGCTTATGTCTATAACAGTCATTTTTAAATCTTTTTTTTTTTATATAATAGGGGGGGTTGCGGGACGACAAACGAGCTTGCGGGACGACCAAACGACGAAAAATGTAGTTTCCTTTTAAAACATTTTTTAGTGAACAATACCTATTGCAAAGATATGCAAATGTTATATATATTCGATAATATTTAAGTACAATAACGCATCAATAGCCAACCGCTAAGTATAGAACATCGCGTATGACGTTGATATCTTGTTGCGTGTTGTTCCCACGAGAATGTAAGTGCGTGCTCCTATTTCACCATGCCACCTGCTGATAGAGGCTGTCTTTGTTTTTAATTTATGTTATTATTATTAATTACTTAATATGTCATGCGGAACATGGTGTAATGGTTGCAGCTCCGTACAAACGTTGTGTAAAAAAAATGGCGAGTGGCGGAGAGTTTATTGCCAGTATGTAATTCCTTATTGACGAGTCATAAGTGTACATTATGTTACCTATTTGATTAAATGATTTTTTACTTTACTTCACTTTAACAGGCCAATAATCAGACTTAACTTTCGCTGCGAATGTCCTCGTTATTCATGCACAAAATCGAATGTATTTTTCTAAAATACTAACCCCAGTATTCTTAAGGAAACTTAATCAGTTTAATTTAACTCCTTTAAAGTACTCTTTCGTATATTTCTTTTAAATTGAATGAACTGAGAGTTAAAACGATACAATTAGACTGTTTTTCTAGCTTCCACCGCGAACTTCGTTTCATCTTTATGATTTTTTGTACTAATTGTACCTTTTTTGTAGCTACATATGGAACATTTTGCTATGCTATCTCATAGATACTCTTTGATTTTTCGGAATAAAAACTAACGTACTAAATAAAACTGTATTTTTTTATTTTAATTATAATTTATTTATTTATTCTAAGATTCATAACGAAATGATTTAATGGTAGTAGGACACTACATAGTAAAAAAATATATTAAAGCTATACAAAACAATTTCTCTAAATTTATAGAGAATTGTGGAAAACTATGCCACATCTTGTCTAGTCCAGTGAGTCAGAACATTAATATTCTGTTGACTTCATTCTAAGAAACGTTCGTTTAAAATGCCTGAGCACTCATTTTTACAACGCTTTCAAAGAAAATTTCATTTTAAATTTGACTTTTAAATGAGCTTCCATGGTAAAATATGCTCTGTGTGAAATTTTTCGCAATTGTTATAAAATGTTGAATTAACAAAAATTAAGCGATTTTGATAATAACTGTGTATATTGAAAGTAAATGCAAAATTAAGAAAGAGTAAATATTCTGTAGTGTTTTTTTATGACTTATGAAGATTCTTTTTACATATTTATTGTTAGAGCAACGATGAGCTTGTGATTCTCAGCCCATATGTGCGATTGTGGATTCCGTGAACAGAAAAATCGTGAGACAAGCATGTCTCTCACTCAAATCTGTGTTAGGCGGAAAAGACTTATAATCTTCTTGCTTTAGAGAAAATACAACTATATCCGACTATGAATCTTGGCGTCGGTTATCTTCTGAGAAGGTGAGATGGAGAATCAAGACTTAGTGTAAAGTATGTCTTCTGTATCTCAAAACAATACACATTTTTGACGTACAGGTGTCAGACTTCTGACTCTTAACCACATCTAGAACTTTAGCCTGTTTTCAAAATAACAAATATTATGTTACAAATTCTTATACCTTATAAGTGATATGAGCTGTGTTTTCGTTAAAATATAGACTAAATTATATAGGTTTTAAATGAATAAGATTTAATACATCAATTTAAATAATCAAATCAGTTTATAAAAATACGCAATCTTCTAGATTGTATAAGAAATTGTCGTATTACCTTATTCCCGTTTCCAATTCAATTGCCTTGTGTAAATCCGAAAATGCCTCTCGGAATGTACAATATTTACAACCGCTTAAACCTAATTTATGGGACAGATATCTTAGGCCCAAATAAAGTGACACCATTTAGAAATGGAATTTGTTTTATACATCTAATTTATATATTCTTCTATATTAGATTTAAAAAAGTGCGTGCGTACAAAGTACACGTGTCAGAAGTGAAACTTCTTTGGAAAACTAATTTTTAAGTCTTGTTCATATTTATACAAATCTAAAACTTAATATTTCTGAGACTTAGAGGGAGAGAAAAAGGAAGATATGTTAGGTATTTAATGCATTTAATTGTCATTAAAATATTAAGTGTCGAAAATTAATACAAATTATAAATTTAATTTTGTTTAAATTTATATCTTCGATAATAAAAACACATGGCATTTTATCTTACAATTCGTCACTTGAGATTTCAATAAATTATTTTGCATAAAATACTAATATTTGATAAATTCTCTTTACGAAATTTTAATTTTAAAAATAGAATTTTTATAAGGTAATTTGCCCTACTCACTCTCTCTCAATCGGTCTCAATCTCTCTCTTCCTTTTCTTCGACAAAAACGCTGCACATCTTCGTGACGCAATTATTATTATTATTGCGTTTCATCCGTAAAAAATTTACCCTCATGCGTCTAAAGAAGTTTCACTTTAAAAAATAATAATGAATGTATTGTGTAACTGTGTAGGTAATATTAGCGTAGCTGTGGGAATACTGAAAATCATAACATTATTACGAAATTTAATATTACGAAAATATTATTAATATATTTAAAAAATCGGATAAAATATAAAACAAACCTACGTATCACAATACCTTTAGTATAGGACCTTGTCGCTAAAGCAATATCTTCCATACAACATAATTACGCATAAAAATATCTGCACAGTTAATGATTGTTATGAAATAAGTTATTTAAGAATTAAACGAAAAATGTTAATAACGTAATAATAACCTAAGTTACATGGCTCTGTTAAGTTAACCCAAATCATACCCTATTAAGTTTTAGTTTAATTTATAATTATTACAATACACACACTAGTACATGAATAACAATAACGTTTAATAGATTCCTTAAAATAGAATCCACTCCAGATGTACTAATATTATGTCTTATTTTTATTGATTGGTCTGTAAATCTTTATTAGGTAAATTTGGGTGGCGGGGTCAAAAATATTCTAATATAGAACCGAGTTTTCAGGTTTTTTAGATCACAATCTCGTCTTGAGTGCCGTCAAATTTCGTTCAGAAAAAATTGTTCAACAGCTCTTGAAACAAGGCTTAAGTTTGATGTTCTACAATATAGAGATATTAAGTCTGTTTAAAAATCGTCCGATATTGGTATTAATACTTTTATAAAGCGTAACTATCAGAGACGCTGTATGCTGTTTTTGATAAGAAGCCTCTAAAGAAGTTAGATCACGACACAATAAAAAATAATGTTTCGATATCGAAAACCACAGGCTAGAAACCAATCACCACTATAGACTAAGGTTAACCAGAAGAATTAAAAAAAACCACAATAATTATTAATTAATTATACCGCTTAAATATATGAATTAAATATATTATAAATGCAAAAGGATTGGATATGTGCACCGAATAGCGGACGACAACACCCCAAGGTTTTTACTGAACTCACAATCTGGTGGCAAGAGAAAACCCGGAAAACCGAAGCTGCGTTGGTGGGATTTGGTTGTCAAGGATATCGAAACAATGAGTGTTGGAAGTTGGATGCCAGAAGCACAAATAGATTGGGATGGCGAAATATACTTGGGGAGGCTAAGGCCCGGCCTACAAGGGTATGATGATGTGATAATGATGATGATTAAATATATAAATTCACTCGTAACAAACTTCACACCAGCATTTAGATTGTTTCAGAGAATCGACAATATAATTTTAAACCTTTCCGACTATTAGTAGTGTAAGAATTGGGTTTTATGAATAATAATCCACGTTTTCTTTGAACCCGTATAACCTTTGTAAGCAATTTCTATGGATTTGTCTGAGTTGCTCTTGGGAAACAAAAATCAATCGACGATCAATAAAAAAATGTTTATGTTTGAGCTGATTATTAAAATGTATATTGCTTTAAATATTTTTACCTCTAAACATATTCTTAGGTTTAATAATGTGCTAACTTCTTCATTTAGTTCTCAATTGTTAAAATTACACAAGTATTTTTATTTGTTTTCGTCTTAATTGCTAACGGCCCTACCATCGATGCCACCGAAGTATCACAGTTATATGTTATTTTACATGCCCAAAGTATAATGTCCCGTAAAAATATCGCCACTCTCAATAGAGAA